GGGACTCGATCCAGGGACTCCAGGATCATGACCTGAGCCGAAGGCAGTCGCCCAACCAACTGAGCCACCCAGGCAGCCAAAATGGATCTGAATTTCATTGACCAGTTCTCTGGGCTATAAAATCATTGTTTATGACATGTTTTTTTTTTTTTTTTTTGCAACTTGAGCAGTCTTTGAAGCACTTTTTGACTTTAATGTTATCTTGAAAGTGTCACTAATAAAAGAAAAAGATCACAATAAGTGATTTTCCATTGGAGGTTTCATAGTTTAGAAAGTATTTAACAACTTTCATAGTTTAGAAAGTATTTAGAAGTTAAAGATGAAATGTTTTATTTAAAGAGAATGGCTAAATCCAATTAAACTTTATTATTTGGACTCTCGTAGTTCAGAAAAGGTTATATCTGAAGTAGGAATATAAACTTCTGCTATTGCTCAAGGAAAAAAGAATTTGATGAATAAATAATGTATAAGAAAGTTGGAAACATTTTTAAGCTAATTAAGAAAAAATTTCAAACTTTTAATGGCATTCTTTTTTGTCATTGATTATAAATAGCCTATTGATAATGAGTGCTTGATATTTCTTCATTAACAGGCACAGATAAAGCTACACTTATTAAAACTATTCTTCTGTTTCTATTTTCTAATAATTTAGATAGATAATATTTTCTCATTTTATTCTAAATTGAGTTTTATTCCCTTGCTCTTTGCCTTCTAGTTGTATCTTTTCATTTATGGTTTATATGTTTTTACCCAGCTCTTATCCTCCTGTCCATCTTCCAATTCAAACATTTCATTTGGTTGCTTATTCCTTAGATCCAGTACTTCAGTATTCTGCTCCCTGTTCCCCACTTGCCAGTGTTCTTACATTTAGGTTCTTGCTCTCTGTTCTCTTTCCCCTCATCTTTGCTTTTCAACCACTGTTTTCTAGGTTTGGTTTCTGGATTTTTGTATTGTTCCTGTTCTCTAACTGGTATAATCAAAACTTCAAGGATATAAGGAGAATTGGAAAGAAGAGGCATAAAGAGAATTGACATGTATTGAATGCCTATTCTATACTAGGTGATTTAATTCTCATAAGATGTAGGTAGGTTTTGTTATTATCTCCATTTTATTCATAAGTACACAGAAGCTCCAAGAGATTAAATATTTTGTTCTAATTCACAGAGAAACTAAGTGATACAGCTGGGTTTCAAACCTATATTGGTTCATTTATTCATCCTTTTATTCAACAAATATTTATTTAGTACACATACTATAAATTGGGCACTGTGCTAGGTGCTGCAACCCATCCAGCTCTTGCTCTCATGAAGCTTAACTGTGTGGTGGCATTGTCTGACTTCACAGATGGTGATCTCTCTGCTATACCAAACAGCTTTAGAGGAAGAGAAAATAAAAAGGAAATAGAAGGGTTCTGATGTTTTATAGAAAAGCTGTATTTGATATAGATGTAAAAAAGGCTATTTTGTGCATTATTTAGAAATACCTTATCGAAGAGGTTGATTTGTGGTAGTCCTAGAAAGAGTCTGACAACTTCAGCACTAACCACTGTAGACACTAGTGCCTTTTAGTGGCATCACCACAGTGTATATTTTCCTTTTATGTTCTCAAATAAAGAAAATTTGTGTCTATAGGTCCAGATATCTAGAGGACTTCACCATCAATTGACCTCCCTAAATTATGTTAAAAAAAAGATGAAGACTTCTCTGTAAAGAATACATTTTTTCAGGCGCCTGGGTGGCTCAGTTGGTTAAGCGACTGCCTTCGGCTCAGGTCATGATCCAGGAGTTCCTGGATCGAGTCCCACATCGGGCTCCCTGCTCGGCAGGGAGTCTGTTTCTCCCTCTGACCCTAACCCTTCTCATGTGCTCTCTCTCATTCTCTCTCTCTCAAATAAATAAATAAAATCTTTAAAAAAAAAAAAAGAATACATTTTTTCATCCATCCATCTATCCATCATCCATACAGTTATTAATACTCTGAAAAATATTTAGGATGGTTTGCCCAAATACGTAAAACACAACAGAACTTTTAATAAGATAAATGTGGGGAAATAAGGCAAGGAAAAATAAGAGGAAATTAAGCTGTGTTCTGTACTAAAAAGTATCCACAGATTTGTCTCTGTTTTCAAGGGTAACTTGATTCACAAGCACTGTAATTTTTAAAAAAAAGACCAAAAAAAAAAAAAATGGTGGCACAGAGGAGTACCTTAAGAGAAAGTTTCTCCAATAGCTCCTCTTAAAGAGGATCACAGAGAAATGTGGTATACAATGGCCTCAAATACTTCCTAATATAAATACGAGTTTCACTGAGCCATTTCATTGGATCCACTTGCATACAGTAAAACAATTCTTTGAAGAGTCAGAAAAGGCATTCTAGGTAGACCACTGCGGCCCAACCAAATCCAAAGGTGTATTTTAGAGAATCTATAGAAATTAGTGAATTGCATCTCTTGTAGGTAATTCTCATATGTAATTCATCAATCAGGTTTTTCATGTAGTAGGTGACACTGAATTTACACACTCTTAGAAATGTGTTTTATTCACTACTGTAACATCAATGCCTAGAATAATACCTAGTACATAGTAGATGCTTAATAAATATTTGTTGGATGGATGGATAAATGTTGTTATTTGAAGTATCTGTTTAAGTGAAAGACTTCTTCTCAGCTATTTTTATATTTTTTTCATTTTCCCTTAAATAAACTGTGCTACTGTACTTTGGAGTACATCATCTTTACATGATCCCAAATTCATTAAATGTTGAACACTGCTTTTGTGACTTTTTCAAGTAGATAATGAAATAAATATTAGCCCTATCGAAAGAATTCTTTTAAGATTGTTCTCAGTAATACTACATGCTTGATTTTTAAGACTCTAAGATTTCACAGTCTCTAAGAAAAAGTTATAAACATCAATAAAGCAGTTTGTAATATAGAAAGTGTTTCTTCTCAGGAGACCTCAAAGTCATACCAGATAGCTTGAATTTGGAAAACAACAGATAGATTCTGAATAATGCTAGCTTGACATTTTTTAGCTATATATTTAAATCAAAGTAATTAACTCCCAAACTTAGGAATTTAAGAATTTCTTAGAGAATTTAAAATTTATTTATTTATTTATTTATTTGACAGAGGGAGAGATACAGCGAGAGAGGGAGCACAAACAGGGGGAGTGGGAGAGGGCGAAGCAGGCTTCCTGCTGATCAGGGAGCCTGATGTGGCGCTTGATCCCGGGACCCTGGGATCATGACCTGAGCTGAAGGCGGACACTTAATGACTGAGCCACCCAGGTGCCCCCAAAATTCTCTATTTTTAAGGCAGGTTTTATTGAAAAGCATAATGGTAGTGTTAATATTTCCTTAAAATTTCTGCCATTGTTAAATACTACATTATGCTGGGATTCAGTGGACCAGTAGATCACATTAATTCTGGTAATCCTTTATTCTATATAATTATAAGGTATTAAATAACGAATTTATATGCATCTTAAAAGTTTATAACATCAACCAGCATCTAACACATACTTCATACATTTTACTTTGCCAAGTCCTTAACCTAAATTTTGTCCAGAGCTACAATCTTATTTAGTACTATCTCTCTACTTCTAATAAAATACTTATAAAATCAACCTTTCTCTATATTCCTCCATAATTTTCCTTTTATTTCATTTGCCTTTCTTCTTCTTTAATGGAATAGTTTATTTTGCAAGCTTTATTCCTATATTGCTCCCAATTATTTTAACCTGTTAACATCTGTAGAAATAGAGGATTAGGAATGGATTCGGTCATGTATTTCACTCATAACTTTTAGCCTAAAACATATCTTTACCATCACAATATAAATATATACCCATTTTGATTGACCTTTAGAAAGTGAAATGTTCCTGTCTTCTTCATTCTCTTATTTCAGGTTTAACCACACTTGTGTTAAGAATGCCCTATCTTAAAACTTCTATTGTATAGTGAAAGCCTATCACTTCATTGATTCTTTTTTAAAATAAGATAGTTAATTTGTATTGAAAATATAGAAGATGGCAAATTGAGTTTTTCTTCTACCAAATACATGAGAAAGTTGACGTGGTGACTTCCTGAGTTCGTTTTAATTATATCATAAAATCATAGAGCTGGGAGAGATACAAATGATCTCAGAGATTAATTATTTCATGCGTAATAGTCAAAAAGTACCCAAATTTCTTGCCCTATGAAAGTCTGTTGAGCTATTATAGCAATCTAAGTCTACATCTTAAAATTTAGGTTATTAGATGGGACTTACATCAAATACCTCTGAGTTATAAGAGATAAGAAGGGTCTGCTAATGTATAAAATTTCCCTGGATGTCCTGGTTCTTAGCTTTTATTCACTAGTCCCGAAGAACTGAGTCTTGATACCTTAAAAACAATGTTTAGGGAACTACAAAGTATGGTCAATAAAAAGTATGATTTATAATTATTTTTAAGTTAATTTTACTACTCTGCCTTCCTTATTTTTGGCTAACTTCACTCAGTCTGCTATTTAATCTTTAATTACAGGCCACAAAAGAAGTAATAGAACGGGAAGCGCCAGGGATGGCCCTGGCAATGCTGATGGGATCACTTAATGTTACACCTCTGGGCATGCTTTCTAGGTAAGAAAGTCACTAACATGTTGCAAAGAAAATTAATTCCATACCACTAATCACTGCAATAGACTGATAAACATAAGAAACTTCAGTCAATAACACTTAAATTTGCTCCCTTTTTTCCCCAGAGTTCAGAGTCTTAGTATCCTATCTAAATCTTGACCATTTTCCCTCAAGTTTTTTTTTACATATTATGTTTAAACTTTTAGAAAATATTATATTTTGCTAAAAGGTGTCAATCCAAACCCAGAGAGGAGTCCAGTTTATTAAGATGTAAAATTATTTTTGTGTGTGATTATTTGTAATCATCAATTAATAATCATTAATTGTCATCAAATGCTAATTTAATAAAACAAAACAGTAGAGGTTTTTTTCAATAAGTTATTCTTATATGGTAGGAATTTGTAAAAAGGCATATTCATGTGTGGTCATAAAAAGAAGCTGAATTAATAGTATATTAGTAGTATATTATGTTAGTATATTTAAAACTATGGCTTTGTTGACATAGATGGTGACATCGATTCTCTGTGTGATGTTATTGTTTTAGTTACTCTTAGATTAAAATCTCCTTTAATGAGGACAGCATACATCATTTAAGTTAAAGACAGAAGTATCAACTTAGAATCTATTGATTTAATGAGCACTGAATAATAGGCAGTTGATCTCAGAGCAATCTAAAAATACACAGCCACTTTATAATTGCATGGTTTCATAATCATTATGTATAGCCATTTATTCATCCTGTGTGAAATATGAATACAAAACTAAGTATATCTACATAGCACATGGAATATGAATAATAATGCCGTTTCTGTTACTTAGGGTTTATATCCCATTAATCGCAGACACTTGAAACACAGCTACAGGGAAATGTGAATTGGTCATTAGTTACTGTATTCTTTTTGCTGTCATAGGTACTATATTATAACATTTAATTTAAATAAGAGCAAAAAAGAATTACAATAGCATGTAGAAATTTTAAATTTAAAAGTCCATGCTGATCTTTAAGGAACTTATCATTCTTCTATGCTGTTCTTTTTTTTTTTTTTTAAGATTTATTTATTTATTTCAGAGAGAAAATACAGGGGGGAAGGGCAGAGGAAGAAGGAGAGAGAAACTCAAGCAGACTCCATGCTGAGCACAGAGCCCAATGCAGGGCTCGATCTCATGACCCTGAGATCAGACCTGAGCCAAAAGTGAGAGTCAGAGGCTCAATCAACTGCTCCACCCAGGCACCCCTTTGCTGTTCTTTTTTTAAACATACTTACATTCCCTACACTTCTGAGGTCAAGGGTCACATTTGATCCTTTTCTCTATGGAATTAAGTAGTGACATTTGAACATAAAAGAACTCTTTCTTGACATACAAGGATATAGTCAAGAAAAAATTAAACTTCGTCTCTTGTTAATTCTTTTGTAATAAAAATCTAATTCAGCAAACATAAATACTCTATTTTCTAGGCCCCAAATTAACCATCAGAGATACTAAGGATAGAAAGAAAATTATGACATGGCCCTCACCTTAAAGATCCCACAGTTTAGCTGGAGAACTTATCCTTTGCAACTGTTAAAGTAACTCTTTATAGCTTTCTTTTTTAAAGATTTTATTTATTTATTTGACAGAGAGAGAGATAGCGAGAGCAGGAACACAAGCAGGGGGAGTGGGAGAGGGAGAAGCAGGCTTCCCACAGAGCAGGGAGCCCGATGTGGAACTCGATCCCAGGACCCTGGGATCATGACCTGAGCCGAAGGCAGACGCCTAACGACTGAGCCACCCAGGCGCCCTCTTTATAGCTTTCTTGATACAGTATAGAAATAGCACTTTTTGTCTTATTGAAAGAATTTTCTGGATTAATTCCTCTTCTACCTTCTGAATCCACATGACTGCTGAGTGATAGAAAATTAATCAGCAGGAGTTGATTCTAAGTACTTTAGAATAAGTCCATCGTCTTTATGCTGAAGGCTTTGAAAATTAAAATAAATACACAGCGTGGTAACAGATTCTTGTGGCTTTTTTTTTTCCTGTTCATTGCTGATTTAACTGAGAGTTTATTTACAAATTTAAAACAGAGATAGTAGTCTGTATGAGTTATGCATAAGAAATTGTGGAATATTTTCCTAAATGTTCATTTTTTGTGAACATTTTCTAGGCTTTTAAAAAATTACTATTTTAAAACAGCCATGATTATACTGATGCTTACTTTCTACAGCATTTTTACCTTGTATCTTCCTTGGGATTTGTACGTGCTTCTATTATAGCACATGCTATATTGCAATTATGTACTTATTTGTATAACCTAATTTGTATAAAATCCCTAAGAACAGGAACTTTTTCATGTTCATTTTTATATCCTCAGACCCCAAAACAACTCCTGACACATAGTAAGTACTCAAAAAATGTTTATTGTATGATTACTGTTGATAAATCAGTGTTTCATCCTAATTCTATAGAACTTTTTTCAAAGTAATATATCAAAGTTGTTTCCTTGCCTTCCTATTTTTATCTCTAGAGAGCAGCATTAAATAAAAATTTTTTTAATTACTAAATCTGTTTAAAATGGTTTTCATCTATGTGATGAAATATCCTCCAGTTACTTTGTGCAAGTCAGTTACAGGATAGTACCAAGTAATAGTTAAGACCATCATCTCTGAAGCCAGATTGCTTGCGTTCCATTCTGGCTCTACTGCTTACTAGCTACTTAACATTTTTTTGGTTTGTTTGTTTTTTTTTTTCTCATCTGTATATGAGGATGTTAATAGTACTAACCTTTTAGATTAAGTGAGTTCATATAAAATGCTTAGAACAACAACTGATTCATAGTAAGTCTTATTTAAGTGTTGACCACAGTTATGGTATTGTTATTGGCTGAGAGCAAGTCTGCTGACAAAACCTTTTAGTAGCTTTCCTCCATCTGGAAATATCTTCATTCTACCGTCATTCCTGAAGGATATTTTCACTAGATATAGAATTCTGGATTGGCAGTTATTTTCTTTCAGCACTTTAAAAAATATTATTCCACTGTTTTCTGGCCCTATGTTTCCTACCAAAACTTAAGTGATTCACGGAAAACAATACTAACAGGGAAGTTAGAGCTGTAAATGGGTTAAAAAAGAAAACCCTTCTTTTTTACATTAAAAAAAGAAAGATCTCATGGGATGCCTGGGCGGCTCAGTTGGTTAAATGTCTGCCTTTGCCTTAGGTCATAATCCCAGAGTCCTGGGGCTCCTTGCTCAGTGGGGAGCCTGCTTTTCCCTCTACTTGTCGTCACTCCCCCTGCTTGTGCTCGCTTGCTCTCTCTCTGACAAATAAACAAAATCTTTTTTTAAAAAAAGGAAGACCTCAGAAACAACTACATAACATTAAAATTTAAGGAACTAGACAAGGAACAAATTAAACCCAAAGCTAGAAGAAGGAAGAAAATAATAAAGATTAAGGCAGAAATAAATAAAATAGAAAATGGAACAATAATACAGAAAATCAATTAAACTGAATATTGACTCTTTGAGAAGATCAACAAAACTGAAAATTTTTAGCTATATTGACTAAGAAAAAAAAGAGACCTGACTCAAATTACTAAACTCAGAACAAAAATGGGGACATCACTGCCAATTCTATAGAAATAAAAAGGACTATAAGAGAATACTATGAATAACTGTATGTCAATAAATTGGATACCCTAGATGAAATGGAAGAATTCCTACAAACACAAAACCTACTCAGATTGAATCAGAAAAAAATAGAAAATCCATATAGATCTGTAATTAGTAAGGAGATTGAATCAGTAATCAAAAACCTACCTACAAATAAAATGACTGTACCAGATGGCTTCACTGGAGAATTATACCACACATTTAAAGAAAAACAGACACCAGTCCTTCTCAAATTCTTCCAAAAAATGGAGGAAAAGGGAATACTTCCTAACTAATTCTATGGGACCAGCATTGCCTTGATACCAAAGCCTGATGAAAAACTACAAGAAAACTACAGACCAGTATCCTCTTTGAACATTGATGTAAAAATCTTCAACAAAATGATAGCAAAACAAATTCAGCAATATTTTAAAAGGACTATACACCATGACCAAGTGTAATACATCCCCAGAATGCAAGGATGTTTCAACATATGAAAAGCAATCAATGAAATATATCACAGTATATTACATATGTGTGATATACCACATACAGAAAAAGCATTTGACAAAATTCAGCATGTTTTCATATTAATGACACTCAACAAACTGGGAATAGAAAGAAACTACCTTAACATAATTAAGGCTTATATTAAAAAACATACATCTAACATCATAATGGTGAGAGACAAAACTTTTGCTCCAAAGCAAGAATAAGAGCAGGATGCACACTTTTGCTGCTTTCATTAAACATGCTATTAGAAGTTGTAGCCAAAACATTAGGCAGGAAAAAGAAATAAAAGGTATCTAAATTGGGAAGGGAGAAGTAAATTTATCTCTGTTTAACATGATCTTATTTGTAAAAAACCCTAACAATTACACACACACACACACACACACACACTCTATTAGAACCAATACACATATTCAGCAGAGTTGAAGATACATAATCAACATGCAAAAATCAGTTGTGTTCCCATATATTAACAATGAAAAATGCAAAAAGGAAATTTTGAAAACAATTCCACTTAAAATCTCATCAAAAAGAATAAAATACTTAGTAATTAACTTAATCAAGGAGGTGAGAGACTTGTACACTGAAAACTATAAAACTTTGCTGACAGAAATTAAAGAAGATTTAAATGAATGGAAATAAACCCCATGTTTATGGTTTGAAAGACTTAATATTAAGTTGTCATTACCCAAAGCAGTTTGCAGATTTAATTCAATCCCTATCAAAATACAGCAACATAACTTTTTGCAGAAATAGAAAAATCCATTCTAAAATTTATATGGAATCTCCAGGGGCCCCAAAGAGACAAAACAACCTGGAAAAAGAACAACAAAGCAGGAGGACTCCCACTCCCTGTTATCAAAC